CTTCTTCTTCTTCTTCTCTCTCTCTCTCTCTCTCTCTCTCTCTCTCTCTCTCTCTCTCTCTCTTTTGTGAAGACATTTGGATTTTGCCAAAGTGAAAATAGGCCAAGTAATGGCTCCCTACAAATGTTCAAATCCTAATCCCCAGAATCTTTGAATAGATTACTTTACAGGGTAAAAAGGACTTTACAGAGATGGGTAAGTGTAGAGTTTTGAGATGAAGAGATGATCCTGGATTATCCAGATGGGGCTGATCTAATCAGAAGGGGTCTTAGCAGAGGGAAACAGATGTGTCTGAAACAGAGTGAGAAGATGTAAAAGGGACGGAGAAGTCAGAGAAGGGAGAAAATGCTACACATCAGGCCTTACTGGCAGAGGGAGGAATCATGAGACAAGGAATGCAGGCAGCCCCTAGGCTCTGAAAAAGGCCAGAAAACAATTCTCCCTTGGAGCTTCCGGAAGGAACAGCCGTGCATATGCCTTGATGTGCGCCCAGATCCCTTAATTTCACCCCAGTAGAGCTGATTTTGGACTCCTGGCCTGTAGAACTGCAAGGATTGTTTTAAGCCACTGAAGTCGTGGTACTTTGTTACAGCAGCACTAAGAAACCAATACAGAGAGGGAGTTTTGAGTATTTGGGCAAAAGTGGGAGAGAGGAAAGTACAGTGTCACACACACAGGAGCCTGCGCCTGGGGCCTGCGGGAGGAGGAGTGGGAGGTGGAAGGTGAAGGAACTGTTCTGGAGGAGAGTTTGAGGGACAAAGGCAGCCGGTGCTTAGGGCTCAGAGTGAGAAGTGTGACATAGAGCAGAGAAAGCAGGGAGCTAGCACTACCCTAGGCTAAGAGGTTTCTGCTAGATTTATTGGTGGCTGTTCAGGGCGTAGAGATTGCTTAGAGCCCATGATGCCTGGGATGGTGCTGAGAAGGGGGAAACTGAGGAAGACCTGTTCTCACACCAGTAGGAAAGGGCTTTATTGGACAAATACCAGCATCCCTAAAGGCTCCCTGAAAGACTTGAGGGACGCTTGATGGTAGGGTAGGTTCCTGCCTGCACCCTGGGAAAGTCAACTTGGTCTTCATTTCTGTTACTCTGTAGGGCCTGGAGAGACTTGGATTATGAGAGTGTTGTAGAAACAGTGTTAAGGGTCCAGATAGGCCAGCTATGGGGACGCATGCCTGTAAACCTAGAGCTTTGGAAGCCTGAGGCAGGAGGGTTGTGAGTATCAGCGCATTGTGGGCAATTTAACGACTTAGCAGAGCTCTGTCTTAAAATTAAAAAAAAAAAAAGAGGCAGAGGATGTAGCTCAGTGCAAAGGCCCTGGATTCATTCCCCTGTAACACACGCGCGTGCACACACACACGCACACACACACTCTACCGATAAATGCTGCCAAAGCACTTTCTAGGATTCATTTACAGTGTTTCCAGAGGGGAATGAGAGCCAATTGCAGCAGCCCCTTTTAAAGATCGAATGTATTAAGAGAAAACAGGTTAAAAGGGTGAGTATAATCATGTACTGCAAGCATGTACTAATAAAAATAGAAATGAAAATAAAGTTGATTATGTAAATCTGACCATTAGGTGGCTCCAGGTCTGTGCACTGGAAAATTTATTGATTTCTATGTCCTCAGGCCTTTAAACTCTTCGTTATGATTTGCCAGCGTGATACCGCTGGAACTTAGAGGCTCTGGGTACTATTATTTATTCGTTTTATATGCTTATGTTATTAGAAGGAGGCAGTCCTCTGGACAGTGAGCTTTCTCATAGTGAGGTCCCACTTGGCTGCCCAGGGGCTTGAGGTGTGTAAGAGAAAATGAGGATGGCATTGAAATTCTTCATTTTCAAAGATTTGATTTCTTGTCCTTTTGAGAAGGAAGGAAGAGCCGTGTTTGTGTGTCTTTTTATATGTTCTTGTCTATAAGAGATCCATCCTTTTTCTTTTTTTGGTACTGGGGATTGAACTCGGGTCCTTGCACTTGCGAGGCAGGCACTGGAACCACTAAGCTAAATCCCCAGCCCTATCTATCCTTTTTCTATCCAGCAAACATTTAGTGAGGGCCTATTTTGAGAAAAACACATTTACTAAGCATTTTGCTGGGTTATATGATTTTTTTTTAGATGCCTGTGAGATCAGGTTTTAATGAATTTAAACACAAGGTACGAGTTTCCAGATGTATATAAATTACAACTGCTTTTTTCCTTTTTTTAATCTCTTAATTCTTTGGATGGGAATGAGAAAATGTTCGTCTCTTTTGTTTGTTTGTTTGGTTTGGTTTGGTTTTATGAGACAGGATCTCACAACACAGTTCAGACTGGCCTTGAACTCATTATACAGCCCAAGCTGTACCTGAACTCACAGAAGTCCTCCTGAGTGAAGGGATTGTAGGCATGCACCACCATGCCCAACTTGGTCTTTTATTGAAGGAAGAACTTCCTTAGCCTAACAGTTTTTATTTCTTTTAAAAGAGCTCATCAGGCTGGGGATTTAGCTCAGTGGTTCCACTGACTGCCTTGCAAGCACGAGGTCCGGAGTTCCATCCCTGGTGCCACCACTGAACTCAGGTCCTTGCGCTTGCAAGGCAGGCCACCAAACTGCTGAGCTAAATCCCTGGCCCAGTTAAAAAAATTTTAAATTTCTTTTCTACCTACCTATGCTACTAAGTTGTCTCCTAGATCACAGTAAGTTTGCTATGATTGAATGATGCCCTTAATTTCTGCATCTATGCAGATCTTCTTTTTTGATTTCTCCGAAAGAGTATTCTCTTCTTCCAGAGCATCATGACAATCCCTTTTAGCTTTTGTTTCTTCCTTGTGGAATAAATGTGGGTGCTTGATGCATCCTCTACGAATAAAATGCTGGATCCAGGATTCCAATCCTTGGCATTTAGGGCGACCCACGAGGGACCTATATTCACTCCTTCTACAAAGGCGCTGGGCTGCTTTATGACAGAGGGCTTAATGTTTCTCCATTCTACTGTTCCATCCACGTTTGGTCCTGTTCTGCAGGGTAACACAACAATCTCTAGGTGTAAAAATCCTTTAGATTTCGTGAAGGAGAACTGATATATAATTTTTAAACATGATCTGACTTTTGCAAATGTTCTTCAGTCTTCATGGACTCAACCAACCTTTATTTTCACATTTGATACATTGGTATTTCCTCTCACCAACATTTGTATTTTCATTATTATTATTATTTGGGGGAGTACCGGGGATTGAACTCGGGACCTTGTGCTTTCAAGGCAGGCGGTGGAAACACTGAGCTAAATCCCTGGCCCAACATTTATATTATTGCCCTAGGAGCTCAAAATACATTTCAAGTTCTAATGGCTAATAAATTATGACATCCTGAAGCAGTCTTTTAAAAAGATTGAAACAGCAAAAACAAAATGTTAAATTTCAGTGCGTCATACAATATGCAAACACTATTGGTTCTTAATTCCCCGTTCTTTTTATTACTAGCAAATCCTGACAGTAGTCTGATATTTAGTTCCACACAGTGTAACATGGCCACAATTGGGCTTGGAGGCCTCTGTGAGAAGCTTCTTTAGGATGCAAGAAAGTGGATGAGAAAGTCGGTTTGGGCTTCTCGATGTGTGTTAAATGTGCGGAATTGTGGAGGTACTTTATAAGGAGAGGTAGAGAAAGAAGGCA